TTCATAACTCAAGGTGGAATCTTGATCCTGGGTTTCATAACTCAAGGTAGAATCTTGATCCTGGGTTTCATAACTCAAGGTAGAATCTTGATCCTGGGTTTGACAGCTCACCATTCTCTGATGTTTTTGTCTTGCATGATATACCCACGAATTTCTTTTAGACGACTTTTATCATCTTTAATTTTCATCTTGTAAAGTTTGGGTTTTAATGTTCTATCTACTGCGAGGCCGAGGTCAATAAGATGTGCTACGTAATCCTGACCTTGTTTTCTAATCATTATATTTGATTCTGTTATGTCATTATGGGCAAAATCGGTCTGATGAAAATCTTTAAGTGCTTTTATAGCAGCTCTATATGCCTTAAAGCAATCTTCAACGGATTTTTTTCCTATAAATTTTGCGAAAGTTACTCCGGGGCAGCGGGACATGACAATAGCTAAAGGATCATAAATTATTCCATAAAGTTTGGGAGCTCCACCGGCGCCATCAACCTTGAGGAGAGCTTTGGCTTCCTTAACAGCTTCTTTCAAATAAACGTCGTCGAAGAGCTTCTTGACGACGACCTTGGTAGTGGAACCATCATCTTGTTTTAAGAGAGATGCCCATGCCTCTCCATATGCCCCTCTACCAAGTCTTGTCTTCATATCAATGCTGCTCCAGGATAACGCGGGGATAACAGTATCGTTAGAGGTGCCTCCGCCTGTTGTTGCTTCACTGTCTGGGGGACAGCAATTCTTCCAAGGTTCGGTACTCTTCTCCTGGAGGACATTCACATCCAATTTTGGCTTTTTGGAAGGTGGAGTGAGAGGGGGAGTTGTGGAGCGAGGTCTCTTGAAGCCACCAGACAGTTCTTGTCTATTGGTAGCCATAGCGAAGTGATGCAAGTCTTCTTTAAGTCCTACTTTTGTCATCGAGAAAATCTTTTCTTTCTTCTAGAAAAATACGCTTAAGGTACCAGGAAAGAGCAGCACGATTATAAATATAGTTACTCTGACGAGACTCGTACCTTAAATTTGTAGACGGTACGACCAGTAATATAGTTACAAGATACCAATAATATACTAAATATACGGGATGACCAATAATATAGTTAATATACGGGATACCAATAATATAGTTGAAATATAGGATACCAATAATATAATTAATAGACGGGATAACCAATAACATAACTGAGAGATGATCATATAATATTGTTAGTGAGGAAAGTGTGAGACTTACTAGTAGACATTATTATTATAATGGACAGTGAAGAGCTAAACCTACAAGGGTGATACAGCACTTATTAGTAGAGATGATCATATAGTGTGAGGTGTACCAGTAGTGATGATCATATAGTGTGAGGTGTACGTACATATTTAGCTTTTGTTATATACGTACTATTTGTTTTTCCCTCTACATCTTTGGTTAAATCATGGGCTCTTTTTGTTCTTATTATTACCTCTGAGCTAACCCAAATTTCCAAGTTCTTCATTCATTAGCCGACTTTCCATCCATTTTCCTTTCCCATTGCATGTCGGGTGGGTCAAAACATGGGCTTGTCGAGATGGGCATTGGGTGAGACTAGATTATTATTATTATTGTTATTATTATTATTATTATTATTATTATTATTATTATTATTATTATTATTATTATCATGGAGAGCGCTAAACCCGTAGGATTATACGGCGCACGTAGGGGGGGATGGAGGGTGTTCAGGCTCAATTCATGGAACCGGAGCACAGATCCAATTCCCTAGATCAAGAGCCTCTCGCCAGCGTCAAGGAACCTTCCTTGAGGGGTGTGAAACTAGAGGTTCCTGGAGGCTGGATGTTTTCTCTTTCCATCCTGCCCTCTTACTAGTTGTCATGCGGGTGATCGACAGTTGTATATGTTCTTCAGCTGTTCCCTCTCCATTTATGTTCTTCTCCGATCCAGGTATACATGATACCTTAATTCTTATTGTCTCAAGATCTTATTTCAAGCTACTCCTGACCATAAGATCAGGGGTAGCTTGAATAAAATCACTGAGTCATAGGGTACTTTATGTCTTATTGTCATTGGGATCCTTAATCTTCTCCCTCAGGATGCGACCAACAACAGTCAGCTAACACCCAGATACGTGTTTACTGCTAGGTGAACAGGGGCAGCAGGTGTAAGGAAACACTCAGGTACCTGCTTACTGCTAGGTGAACAGGGGCAGAAGGTGTAAGGAAACACTCAGGTACCTACTTACTGCTAGGTGAACAGGGACAGCAAGTGTAAGGAAACACGGCCAACGTTTCATCCGTGCCTGGAATCGATCCCTGTTCCTCGGTTTGTGAGCTTTGGAAGCTAACATCTGTTTTAGTTGCTCACCTCATGTATAAAATCAATACCGTGTGACGGAGTATGACAAGAAAAGTATCTTGTGTGATCCACTATGACAGGAAAAATAATTGTGATGGAACAGGAAAATCAGTTATACACTGTGATAAGAAATCATGCTGTAAGATGGAGCATGACAGGAAAACTATTGTGTGATATAGTACGACAGGAAAGTCATGGTATGAGATGGAGTATGTGTGATGGAATATAACAGGAAAGCCACCTTGTGGTAGAATAGGAAAGGTAAATTATCATGTATGCTAAAGTATAAGAATAATCCTGTGTGATGGAGTATGATAGGTACATTATGTATGATGGAGGAATACTGTAGAGGGAAAACCATCTCGTGTGATGGAGTATGACAGGAAAGCCATGTTGTCTGATGGTGTATGACAGAAGCCATTTTATGTGACGGTGTTTGATAGGAAAACCATCCTGTAAAATATGACAGAAAAAGTTATCTGTGAGAGGAAAATCATCCTGTATGATGGAATATAACCCAAAAAACAGTGTGCATGATGGTGTAGCAGTGAGTGTAATCCTCATTAAAAACATAACTCAATATTATATAGTTTAAATTTCCTTACATGTTTACAAACTGTTGTTTTAAAATTTATAAAATGTTTAAGGTAGCCCCTGATTATTATATACATGCTGTAGTATATAGACTATAATGCAGTGTATGATCATTGGGTGAGCACAAAAAGACCCTCTGACAAACTAGTCTGAAAACAACAGCTGAAGAAAGATATATTTGAATTACCGCAAATACTTAAGTTAATGTTTGAAGATATATCTATAGAGCAAAGATACAGTATTATTTACTATGTATACCGTTAAACCCGTAGGTCATTCAGGGAGAGTTCTGGAGGGTTAGCCCCCAGGATAACCCAGGAAAGTCAGTGCGTCATCGAAGACTCTTATTTCCATTGTGGTCCTTCAATCTTGGTCCCCCAGGATGCGACCCACACCGGTCCACTAACACCCAGGTACCTACATGCTGCTAGGTGAACGGGGACAACAGGTGTAAGAAAACATATCCAGTGTTTCCACCCTTGTCAGTTCAAGTCCTGTTTTAGAGAATAAAATATCCTTGATGTTAGAGGTGAACTGGAGGTTTAATAACCAACTAATAACTATCCCGTAATAAGTTTTATAGCTAATTAAGTTTATTTAAGCACAGGTAGACATATTGTAAATTACTTAGGAAATCTTATATTAAACATAGTCCTTGCTTTAGCCTTGCCAAATTGCATATTTTATTTATTTTGATTTAGTTCCTTAATGTTGAAGGTTTGGGAGGCAAGGTTGCATTATTGAGTTTTAAACTAATGTTAATCAAGAAATACAACTTTAATCTCAAAATAGCGATGCAGTTCCTGGATTATAATTCCGCTAGTGACTACACATGCCATTCTAGCTCTAAATTTCCTGAAACACCACATGAATAAATAAGACCCTAACTTAAACCAAGTAATGAATTTTGCCAAATATATTAAATATTTAATAGTTGCGGCGACGGGAGCTATTGTCGTCATGTTTAGTGTTGGCTACAACACTGGGCGCTCTCACTACACACGTAGACGTCTAACTTCTCATGACTTACCAGCTTAATTATAACTAGTAATCCCCTCAAGGAAGGTTCCTTGACTCTGGTGAGGGGCTCTAGATCTAGGGAATTGGATCTGTGCTTTAGTTCCCTGAATTAAGCCTGAATACCTTCCACATCCCCCCCAGGTGCTGTATAATACGGGTTTAGCGCTTCCCCTTGATTGTAATAATAATATAACTAGTAATATATTATTTATAACAATATATATTATTTATCCCTTTAAGTGTGTGTGTCTTGATAATGGTGAAGGACTCTTGAACCAATAAATATCTGGCTTCTCTTCCTGCGAACTATGACCCTAATGGAAATAATTCACTTTTTTACCCTTTTTTGGTGGGGGGCTTATCCTATGTAATTTACAGTTATGATAATTGTACTTTTGTGTACCTGTGCCTAAATAAAATTACTTTCTTACATATCCCCCAGGATGCCACCCACACCAACAAGTTAGACCCCAAAAGACCCCAGTGGAAATAAGTCCCTTTGTCTGACTTTTTGGGGGGTTATCCTAGGTAATTTACACATTCTATGTATGATAATTTGTGTAACTGTATTTATGTGTACCTGTACCTGAATAAACTTATTTACCTCCCATGCACTGTACGAGTCCCTTACGGGTTCACCGCTTCCCCATGTATATTTAATGTACATTATATATATAATAAAATAAGCTTTATAAATTAAATATAATTTAATTTTACTAGTAGATTTATATCTTGGGAACGTAATGTAATCTTGTGTATATTTAAGAATATAATCTTAGAGAGACACCAATAATAGCAAGTCACACTGACTTTACTTAGTTATTTAAGGTTAAGCTCAAAATAATGTACTATGTAAAATCATTGTACTTATGAACTTATGTAAAAAAATATACTTAAAAGGACCCCAGTGGAAATAAGTCACTTTTTTGGGGTTATCCTGGGTAATCTACACATATGCTGGTATGTATAATAATTTATATAATTGTATTTTATGTACCTGTACCAGAATAAATTTACTTAAGTATTCAAGATATCTAAGAAGAAATTGTAGAGTTTGTGAATGGTTGAGAGCGGCGGCGCTGTTGTTGTTCGCAGCATTGTTAAGGTGACAGCAGCCGTCACCCCCTCCAGTACCTCTGTTAACACACCTGTCATGCTACACCTGTCATAACACCAGGTGAGTCTCAACAACACCTGGGAGTCTTGGAGACTGTCAGAGTCAGGTGAAGTTCACTGTGTCTTAGTAGACAGAAGAGGTAATGTGCTGGATAGGGATAGCGATAGCGTTGTATGATCCTTGTGGGTTTAGCGCTTAGTTATGATTGTTATTGTTACAGTAATAATGATAACTGGACAGGGAAATGTTTAATAATAATAATAATAATCATGTATTTCTACAGGTGCATGGTATGGTCCTAGCTGACATTATTAGTACACTGTCTAGTAAGACCAAAGAACCCCAATGGAAATAAGTTACTTTGTCTCACTTTTTTGGGTTATCCTGTGTAATCCTCACTTATGCTGCTATGTATGATAATTTATGTAACTATTTATGTGTACCTGTACCTGAATTAACTTACTATGCAGAGCATTTCGTGGAAATAAGTTACTGTCTTCACTTTTTTTTGGGGTTATCCTAGGCAATTTACACATATGATAGTTGTGCTTATGTATACTTGTTCCTAATTAAAGTTACTAATTTGTCCCCCACGATGCCATCCACTACAGTGGGTGATACCCAAAAGAACCCTAATGGAAATAAATCACTTTGGCGTGTTTTTTGAGTTATCCTTGGTAATTTACACATATATTAAACTATGTATGATACTTGTACTTATGTGTACCTTTGCCCAAATAAACTTACCTAGGTTAACACCCAGGTACCTACTTCCTACTAGGAGACAAGGGCAGCAAGTATAGGGAAACATGCCCAATATTTCACCTGTGCTGGGTCTCGAGCCAAGGTATTATTGAAATACATAGAGATCTCGCCCTTATGCCCAATAATAAGTTGATTTTGTTATGGAAATTATTATGTGTTGTGCAAAAATAAGAAACGTAATCTAAGCTAATGAAACCCAACCGTAAATAACCCTGCATGAGTTTACTCCACCGGCAGTAGATACGAGACTGGCATGCCTTTGTTTACTTACCCTTAACTGGGGACCTAGCTCCCAAAAGAAAAACTTTTAACATTATTTTTTATCATGACTAATGGTTCACATCCTTCTTTGAAAACATTTCTTAGTAAGGATTCTAAACAACACACAAGATCTGTCCATGAAGATTGTAATAAGTATTAAATTTTCCTATGCATATGCAGATATTATTAGAGCTTGTATAATTTATTTAAATTTTGTAATGTACAGTACACTGTACACTACTGTATAACATAGTTGTATAGTACACTTTTACATGCTATTTGCTTTATTAATGAAATAACTACAATAATGCTTTTGCACAGGTCCACCAGAGTAAAGGGGCACAATGGTACGAAGCAAGCAGCCTCCTCAACAGTTGAATGAAATACAGCAGAGGAGAGCTCAGTGGAACTTAATTGATGGTGCAGGTCCAGCGGACAACCAGAGAGATAATGGAGATGCTGGTGCAAGACAGGAAGATGATGCCCAGCCAAGAGATGATGATGACATTGCCCTTTTACTGAACAATGAATTGATTGATGATGATGATGATGATATAGATTTTATACCTGGTGCCCTAGGAGATCCAGCACTGCGGCCACGGGAAGTCCGTTGGGGAAGGTTTGCACAGGTTCGGTATGAAGATGGAGATGACGATTTTATTGATGAATTTGATGATGAAGTTGTGTATCTGCCAAGGCGGAGAGAGAGAGTGGTACGAGAGGAAGTGAACTATGGTGATTTTAAAACTGTTCTTAATAACTGTCAGTTTTATGCAAAAGTTTTAAAGACAGAAAACAATAGCATAGCAAGTCCAAGAAAAGAAAGAGATAAGAGTATTTTTTGCCATTTTGGAAATGTGTGTTTCAAGCTCAAAGATAAAGTGACAAGCAAAGACTTTCATCAGATACCTGCTTCTGAATTTTGGGTGTATGTGAGTTTAGAGGCTAATAATAGTGCTGTTTACTTTGAGTGGAACTCTGAAGGGTCACCAAAAAAGTCTAAACAAAGGAAAAAATCTGCTGATAATTTTTGTCACTATATGATAGAAGGCATCTTGGATGTGGAATTATGGCAAGGGTTATCCACTCAGCGATACTTTGATCTTACTCTAGAAAGTTTTGATGATTCCAGTAATGAAATGACATTAAGTGTTTTCTTGAAAAGAGGAGGTTTATCTGAATTACGGCATCCCAGTGATAATATTCATTGTAACGAGTTTATGGGTGCAGTAGTTTCTTATTTCTTTGGTGTTCGTATGTTTACCTATAATGGTACCAAAAATATGAAGCATAATGTGGAAGATCTCTTCACTGCTATCAAGAACTGGCATGTTGATAAAGAGTACTGCTCCTTAGATGTACAGCATCCCAGTCTGATTCCTCAGCTAAGACCATACCAAAAGTCTGCTGTAAAGTGGATGTTGCATCAGGAGAAATATGAACAAGTGAAAAAAGAAAACATGGATAACTCTGGGGATTTGCACTGCTTATTTGTGGAAATTAAGAGTAAAGATAATGTTACCCTTTACTTCAATAAATATGGAGGGTTTATTGTAAAGGATAAACCTCTGGCTGTCTTACCAACTCCTGGGGGTATTCTAGCTGATGAAATGGGGCTAGGAAAGACAGTGGAAGTTCTTTCATGCATGTTGTGCCATCCAAGACAGAATGTCAAAAAGCCAGCTTATCAAGATCCAATTAACATTGAATCTCATAAGCCTAAACGTAAAAGAAAATCAGGTAAGAGGTTAACTGGAAATGACATTTTTACACTTGATGGTGTACCAGAGGAGGAAGGTGAGGGAGTGGAAGATTCTTCCTTGGAAGAAAGTAAGAGCAAATACATTGCCCAGGATTCTAGCCCAACTGATTCCAAAGGAACAAGAAATGTAACAAGAGAAAAAAAAAACAAAAAGCGAGTGAATAAAGAGTCTGAAATTCCTCAGAATCGTATCAAAGTACACTTACCAAAGAGAGAGAATGATGATAGTCTGAATAAGAGTGGACGACCAAAGAGACAGGCTGCAAAGTTTGTCTGTGGATATGTATCCTTTGATGATGATGATATAGAAGATGAGGATAATTATGAGCTTCCAGAAAAGAAAACTGCCCTTAAAAAAAATAACATAAAGAAAACTACATATAATGTAGATCAAGAAATTTCTGAAAGCACCCATTGGTCTTCTATTGAATCTGCCATTATTAAAGAATGTTGGGATGGTAATGCCAAAGATTATAAAAAGGAAGGTTCTTATAAGGACTTTCGCAAATTTTTGAGGACAAGAAAAAAGGATCCATATTATATGATGTCAGTAAAGGAAAGGCTTCAAATTCAGTACAATAATAGCATGGCAAAATACAGTGCCAGTGAAGTAGTGACACGAAAAACTATACAAGGATTCTTTGATACTAAAGTGGCCCAAAAGAGTTTCTTTGAGTGCCTCTGTGGATCTGCAGAAATTGAAAACCGAGATGAGAAGTTTAGAGTTCAGTGCTCAGTGTGTAGTCTGTGGCAGCATGCTGACTGTGTGCAGTACGATGTGACAGATCCCTATAGAGGGGTGTATATCTGCCCACACTGCTGGACGCAGGAACAGCCAGTGGTATCTGGAGCAACCCTCATTGTCACTCCTTCAGCCATTAGCTTTCAGGTCAGCTGGAAACAGTTTATCATTTTGATATTCTTAGAAATTTGGAGGAATTATAGGTTAAAAAATTGAAAAGCATTTGTGGCAAAGGTGGAAATAGGTCTTAAGTGTAGATGTTTAATTTTTAAGAACTAGGCTTTGTACAAAATATGAGAAATAAAATTTTAGTTTGTAATGTAACTTGACTTTGTTAGAACTTGGTTTTTTATTGAAAACATGACTGCCTTGAGCTTTGTTCATATTTTATGTACTGTCTCAGTCATTTTTATCATAAAATGCTTGACCTGTCAGTCTGTTACAGAGGTGCTTCTAATTAGATTTTTCATTATGAAAACAACTTTTAATTATTTAATGTCATAATAGTCTAGTAGATTCTTCAGCAATACAATATAGTTTTGAATTTTATTTGTATTTTTAAGAGTACCCTAGTTAATGGTATTTTTTCTGAGATTTCATTTTTTTCAGTGGGTTAATGAAATTATGAAACACCTGAAGCACAAAGCTATTAGGATGCTGGTTTATAAGGGTGTGTCAACTCAGGGCTACATGCAACCTCATTACCTTGCCAACTTTGATATTGTCATCACCACCTACGAGACTCTCAGCCGAGAACTGAACTATGTGGATTTGCCTCACAGTAACAGTCGGATGGGAAGAAGGTATAGTACTATATTTTTTTTTTAGTTGTATCCTATAGATCTACTTTTTCATTTTTAATCAGTATCGTATCTTCATAATTTTAGTACTCGTCGTTTTTGCATATGAGGCATGCAAGACGAAAGTAAATAAGAACTGCCAAGGCCCAAATCCCGGTTAGTGAATGAATTGATTCCATAATCTTTCAGATATTTGGGAGTGGACGTGTCAGCGGATGGGTCTATGAAAGATGAGGTGAATCATAGAATTGATGAGGGAAAAAGAGTGAGTGGTGCACTTAGGAGTCTGTGGAGACAAAGAACTTTGTCCTTGGAGGCAAAGAGGGGAATGTATGAGAGTATAGTTTTACCAACGCTCTTATATGGGTGTGAAGCGTGGGTGATGAATGTTGCAGCGAGGAGAAGGCTGGAGGCAGTGGAGATGTCATGTCTGAGGGCAATGTGTGGTGTGAATATAATGCAGAGAATTCGTAGTTTGGAAGTTAGGAGGAGGTGCGGGATTACCAAAACTGTTGTCCAGAGGGCTGAGGAAGGGTTGTTGAGGTGGTTCGGACATGTAGAGAGAATGGAGCGAAACAGAATGACTTCAAGAGTGTATCAGTCTGTAGTGGAAGGAAGGCGGGGTAGGGGTCGGCCTAGGAAGGGTTGGAGGGAGGGGGTAAAGGAGGTTTTGTGTGCGAGGGGCTTGGACTTCCAGCAGGCATGCTTGAGCGTGTTTGATAGGAGTGAATGGAGACAAATGGTTTTTAATACTTGACGTGCTGTTGGAGTGTGAGCAAAGTAACATTTATGAAGGGATTCAGGGAAACCGGCAGGCCGGACTTGAGTCCTGGAGATGGGAAGTACAGTGCCTGCACTCTGAAGGAGGGGTGTTAATGTTGCAGTTTAAAAACTGTAGTGTAAAGCACCCTTCTGGCAAGACAGTGATGGAGTGAATGATGGTGAAAGTTTTTCTTTTTCGGGCCACCCTGCCTTGGTGGGAATCGGCCGGTGTGATAATAAAAAAAAAAAAAAAATCTTTCGTCTATTTCTGGAAATGTATAGATATTGCCTCAGGCTCAGAGCTTCATAACAAAATATGGTAACTTGAAACTTCATATCTCTGATCTCTCCTGTACCTGTGTTTTTCTCCTCTGTTTGAATGTGGCACTTATTCTTTTCTGCCATGAAACGTCAAATAAAGTAACGACTAAGCCTTGCATTTTCTTGAAGGTTTCGACATCCCAAGCGATTTATGGCAACTCCATCTCCTCTCCCTTGTGTGGAATGGTGGCGGGTGTGTCTGGATGAAGCTCAGATGGTTGAGTGTACTACCAACAAAACTGCAGAGATGGCTCTCAGACTTGCAGCAATTAATAGATGGTGTGTCACAGGTACCCCTGTTCAGAAAACGGTGAATGAATTGCAAGTAAGTTAATACTGGTGCTACCTAAAGTAAGGCCTACAAGGATTTACCACATTTTGAAATGCAATACAATTGTAAAACTAATGTTTATAAACCAATGACATTGTATCAATGGACATGTAAGCTTATTTAAAAAAAATTAGTTGCAAAGTTGACAGTTGGGAGAAATTTCTTTGGTTATACAGACGCCACCCTACTTGCAAACATTCGAACATATGAACAAACTGCTGTGTTAGTTAGTTTCATTTGCGATACTTCCACATATCCGAATTTTGAGTTGCACACCTGCGTAGTACGACGTTTTGCCGCAACCCATGCTGGGCAGCACCAAAGTCAACAGTTTGGTAACATGCTCATTAGTGGCTTTATGTCCACAATTTGTCAAAGCTTCGAGGGCTTTGATCTGGCTGAGGATGCAAAAGATATTGTCACCAGTCTTGTTGGCTTTAGTGAGGAACTTCATCTGGACCTAGAGGAAGAAGACTTTGAGGAGCTGTTTGAGTCACAATCTGAGGAGCTGACAAATGAAGATTTGATGGAACTGGAAGACATGCAGCATAAAGAAAAGCAAGAGGAACAAGATAAAACTGTTCCTTCTAAAAAGTTTTAAATGAAAATGATGGCCTAGGCATTTTCTCTTAGAGAGAGAGAGAGAGAGAGTCTCCGTATGTTTGAGCTTCAGAACCCTAATATTGAGAGATTCTCAAAGGTTTCAACTTGTGTTAACAATTCTATCTCATGCTACCATCTTATAAACGACGAGAAGAGAAAAACGGTGTAAACTTCCTTAGACAAAGTCTTCAGACCGGTGCCATCTACCTCTAAAGCCTCTTCAGATGTTGAAGAAATCCAGGCTTATGAAACCCTGACTGATGAAGCATTTGATGATGAAGTGTATGAGGTTGACGACCCTCTCTCCCAGTAACCCCACACATCTATCACCTCAAGTTTATTGTAAGAATTAAAAAGGTAACAAGTTTTTATTACAGTACAGCTTCTCCTCACTTAATTAACGATGGAGTTCTGTTCCTGAGACCACGTCGTTAAACGAATTCGTCGATAAGTGAGGAGCATATAATGGTAGTGAGTTTGTGTCAACCATCTTTAATATTGTTTTAATGTCACCTTTGCACCATTTATAACATTTCTGGTATATTTTTATACCGTACAGTGGTACCCTGAGTTTTGTACAGCTCCCAACTTGAACAATTATGTAAGTGTATTATTGTAAGTGCTTTTGTAAGTGTATTTTTGGGAGTCTGAAACAGACTAATCTAATTTACATTATTCCTTATGGGAACAAATTCGTTCAGTAACGGCACTCGAACAGCCTTCTTGAATGAATTATGGCTGAAACTTGGGGTACCACTGTAGTATTTTAAAATAAACAGAATAGAGGAAACCAACTCTAATATACATTATTTAGGTATGAATACTAGTCAGAGAGCCTGTCATAAGTCCGAGGAGTTGGTAAAAGAGTATGTCACTAAGTGAGGAGAGGCTGTATTTATTATTAAAATTATTTTATTTTTTTTTTTTATTATCACACTGGCCGATTCCCACCAAAGCAGGGTGGCCCGAAAAAGAAAAACTTTCACCATCATTCACTCCATCACTGTCTTGCCAGAAGGGTGCTTTACACTACAGTTTTTAAACTGCAACATTAACACCCCTCCTTCAGAGTGCAGGCACTGTACTTCCCATCTCCAGGACTTGAGTCCGGCCTGCCGGTTTCCCTGAACCCCTTCATAAATGTTACTTTGCTCACACTCCAACAGCACGTCAAGTATTAAAAACCATTTGTCTCTATTCACTCCTATCAAACACGCTCACGCATGCCTGCTGGAAGTCCAAGCCCCTCACACACAAAACCTCCTTTACCCCCTCCCTCCAACCTTTCCTAGGCCGACCCCTACCCCGCCTTCCTTCCACTACAGACTGATACACTCTTGAAGTCATTCTGTTTCGCTCCATTCTCTCTACATGTCCGAACCACCTCAACAACCCTTCCTCAGCCCTCTGGACAACAGTTTTGGTAATCCCGCACCTCCTCCTAACTTCCAAACTACGAATTCTCTGCATTATATTCACACCACACATGACATGACATCTCCACTGCCTCCAGCCTTCTCCTCGCTGCAACATTCATCACCCATGCTTCACACCCATATAAGAGCGTTGGTAAAACTATACTCTCGTACATTCCCCTCTTTGCCTCCAAGGGCAAAGTTCTTTGTCTCCACAGACTCCTAAGTGCACCACTCACCCTTTTCCCCTCATAAATTCTATGATTCATCTCATCTTTCATAGACCCATCCGCTGACACGTCCACTCCCAAATATCTGAATACATTCACCTCCTCCATACTCTCTCCCTCCAATCTGATATCCAATCTTTCATCACCTAATCTTTTTCTTATCCTCATAACCTTACTCTTTCCTGTATTCACTTTCAATTTTCTTCTTTTGCACACCCTACCAAATTCATCCACCAATCTTTGCAACTTCTCTTCAGAATCTCCCAAGAGCACAGTGTCATCAGCAAAGAGCAACTGTGACAACTCCCACTTTGTGTGATTCTTTATCTTTTAACTCCACGCCTCTTGCCAAGACCCTCGCATTTACTTCTCTTACAACCCCATCTATAAATATATTAAACAACCACGGTGACATCACACATCCTTGTCTAAGGCCTACTTTTACTGGGAAATAATTTCCCTCTTTCCTACATACTCTAACTTGAGCCTCACTATCCTCGTAAAAACTCTTCACTGCTTTCAGTAACCTACCTCCTACACCATACACCTGCAACATCTGCCACATTGCCCCCCTATCCACCCTGTCATACGCCTTTTCCAAATCCATAAATGCCACAAAGACCTCTTTAGCCTTATCTAAATACTGTTCACTTATATGTTTCACTGTAAACACCTGGTCCACACACCCCCTACCTTTCCTAAAGCCTCCTTGTTCATCTGCTATCCTATTCTCCATCTTACTCTTAATTCTTTCAATAATAACTCTACCATACACTTTACCAGGTATACTCAACAGACTTATCCCCCTATAATTTTTGCACTCTCTTTTATCCCCTTTGCCTTTATACAAAGGAACTATGCATGCTCTCTCCCAATCCCTAGGTACCTTACCCTCTTCCATACATTTATTAAATAATTGCACCAACCACTCCAAAACTATATCCCCACATGCTTTTAACATTTCTATCTTTATCCCATCAATCCCAGCTGCCTTACCCCATTTCATTTTACCTACTGCCTCACGAACTTCCCCCACACTCGCAACTGGCTCTTCCTCACTCCTACAAGATGTTATTCCTCCTTGCCCTATACACGAAATCACAGCTTCCCTATCTTCATCAACATTTAACAATTCCTCAAAATATTCCCTCCATCTTCCCAATACCTCTAACTCTCCATTTAATAACTCTCCTCTCCTATTTTTAACTGACAAATCCATTCGTTCTCTAGGCTTTCTTAACTTGTTAATCTCACTCCAAAACTTTTTCTTATTTTCAACAAAATTTGTTGATAACATCTCATCCACTCTCTCATTTGCTCTCTTTTTACATTGCCTCACCACTCTCTTAACCTCTCTTTTTCTTCATATACTCTTCCCTCCTTGCATCACTTCTACTTTGTAAAAACTTCTCATATGCTAACTTTTTCTCCCTTACTACTCTCTTTACACCATTCCACCAATCGCTCCTCTTCCCTCCCGCACCCACTTTCCTGTAACCACAAACTTCTGCTGAACACTCTAACACTACATTTTTAAACCTACCCCATACCTCTTCGACCCCATTACCTATGCTCTCATTAGCCCATCTATCCTCCAATAGCTGTTTATATCTTACCCTAACTGCCTCCTCTTTTAGTTTATAAACCTTCACCTCTCTCTTCCCTGATGCTTCTATTCTCCTTGTATCCCATCTACCTTTTACTCTCAGTGTAGCTACAACTAGAAAGTGATCTGATATATCTGTGGCCCCTCTATAAACATGTACATCCTGAAGTCTACTTAACAATTTTTTATCTACCAATACATAATCCAACAAACTACTGTCATTTCACCCTACATCATATCTTGTATACTTATTTATCCTCTTTTTCTTAAAATATGTATTACCTATAACTAAACCCCTTTCTATACAAAGTTCAATCAAAGGGCTCCCATTATCATTTACACCTGGCACCCCAAACTTACCTACCACACCCTCTCTAAAAGTTTCTCCTACTTTAGCATTCAGGTCCCCTACCGCAATTATTCTCTCACTTGGTTCAAAGGCTCCTATACATTCACTTAACATCTCCCAAAATCTCTCTCTCTCCTCTGCATTCCTCTCTTCTCCAGGTGCATACACTCTTATTATGACCCACTTTTCGCATCCAACCTTTACTTTAATCCACATAATTCTTGAATTTACACATTCATATTCTCTTTAAAATATGCTTTAGTATTAAGAACCATACATTACTGATACTGTACAGCATTGTCTTTAAGTTTTCAACGAACATTTGTGCAGAGAAAGAACAATAATAATAATGACAATAATATTAAAAACAATAATGATAATCTTAATAGAAAAATGGCAAAGTAACGACTGATGAACAATTCGAGATACAAACAGCCTTCTGGAATGTAACTTGTTCGTAAGTTGAGGGGGGGGCGTCTGCATTTAATAAAATGGTAGGTGAATTTTTTTAGTACTGTATTTTTTTATTGTTATTCTTGTAGGCACATTACACTGCAGTTCTGCACTTCTTTAGGTACTGTATATAATCACATTAAAAGTGTAGCATTTGTTGTTTCTCTTAATAAATCTGATACACCTTGAGTACAGTGGCCCATGTAATCATTACTATACAGTGTGTTTAGGTAATATCCTGCATTCGTTTCTTGGCTGGTGTCTTGAAGACATTCTCATGGCACCATGTACTGTATATATAGTCAGGTATATACATGTATATCTTCTCCATTCCACACAATAATCCAAGTACTGTAAGCATTTTCAAAAGTTTAGATGTTGTATTGACTATGTTGGCAGTATATGACTACTGTACATTTTTCAGTTCTGCCATCTCCTGCCTTGAAAAAAGTGCTATGTGCACAGTATTCAAGTTGGCATTATTTCTCTTGCTTTGAAAGTTCTCATAATCCATAGTCATTTTCCTGGCTTTTGCTGCATATATCTTATTGTGTTTCTAAATGACAGCCTGACATAATTATTCTCAGGTCTTTTACCTCTTACTTACTCTTGAGATATGATCTACTTGGATTCAGTAGCCAGTTAACCCCAGCTTAATCACCTAGTTAGAAATCACAGTTTCTTACATCATGTTATAACTTAAGTGAAAGACCAGGACAAGAATATTATGTATTATCCTCTCGAGCCTTGAAGTTAGGAAGTACAGTACCTGCACTCGAAAGGAGGGGTACGAATGTTTCAGTTCAGAGGGTCATCTGAATTGTGATGCTAGCATAGTTCTCGAAACACAACACAGAATGAATGATTTTTATGCAGGGTGTTGATGAAATTCATAACTAGGCACTGTACTTATGAGAGGTTGGCTATCCTCTCTCCCATTCCTTCATCTCCCATCTGAATGTTTCAGCTTAGAAGTGAGTTACTGCCAGTAATTTCATCAAGTAATATCTCTCCCTTGCAATTACAATATTTGTATGTTGTATTTGCTTTTATTGCCAAGAATGATGGATGATCTACACTGTGAAAGTGCTTATTCAGTTTCAAAACTATTAACTATACATGAAGGTCATTAGTGATACTCTAGTATACTCATGAGTAATGATAGTATTTACATAACTTAACAATTCATAATTATCTGCAGAAGTTTTTTTAGACATTCTTAAACACTACCATCACTTCAGTGAACAATGTGCAGGTTGTCACTGTTTCTGTTTTAGTGATGGTTGCTAATGTAGAATATTCTCTGAACAGTGTCCAGGTGCTGTATGACCCCTACAGGTTTAGCACCTTCTCATGAATGTACTGTACATCATAATAAAAATCTAAATGTTGTTGTATCCCTGTGATATTTTGTATTTCAATAGGGCCTGTTGATGTTCTTAGGAGTAGATCCTTACTGGGTGGTACAGTGGTGGAACAGATGCCTTTTCTTACCATACTGCCATGGAGTTAAGGAACCTCTTCACAACTTAGTAGCACAGTACATGTGGAGAAATGCAAAGAAAGATGTTATCCACCAGATTGACATCCCACAACAGACTGAAGAGGTGAGGCTGCTTCATCTCATTTCTGAAACTGGTGAATTTATCCCTTAAACTGCCCATGTAAATTTACACCAACAGGGAAACTGCTGATGATATAAATTTGTGCCTAGATTCTAGTGCCCCCAAAATGGCTGTGGGTTAGGCCTACATCAGAGAAACCAGATATGTACAGTATAAAGAAAACAGAATTCTGTGTAGGGATTTCTGCAAGCCATTAAATGCCATTAACATTTGTTTTGTCTTCACTTTTTATTACATTTTTTCGTTTGTTTAGTGAGACTGAACAAAAAAGATAAGCGAAATGTGATATGAAAACAGATATAGATATAATACATATGATCCTTAACCCTTTCAGGGTTCAGAGGCCAAATTTCAAAGTGCACACCAGGGTCCAAGAATTTAAAAAAAAAAATATTTTTTCATATGAAATGGTAGAGAATCTTATTCTGAAGGTAAAAAAAAAAAAAGTACGAAATTTGATGGAAAATTTACGAAATTATGCTCTCACGAATTTTGATGTGTTAGCGATGTTTACGAATCGGCGATTTTGCCTACTTTGACTCCCATTTTAGGCCAATTACATTATTCCAGTTGACCAGATCCTTAGCTATTTCACTAGTATTACTTCTGTTCTATCGATTGAGCACAAGAAATCGCCAAGTCAACTGTTCCAACTACAAAATAAAGTGATCAGAAATTGGTAATTTGGCCATTTTAACACAAAGTTCAAAATATTCCAATTTCAAAATAGGGTCCAGAATAAACAATGTAGGTATTCCTGGCACTAAACTAACATTTCCTCTGTTTACTAGTTACGTTTTGAGGCTTTACAAATGAATTCCATTTTGATTTTTTATTCACATAATGAATTTTTATTCAATCCAAAAAATAGAAGATTTACTGTTATGCAATATTGTAATAATTTTATAAATATCATCACCACATTTGTGAATGTATATTAGACCCACCAGCTGGCATGTATTAGATGTGTGAGGTCGTTTATTTACTCTTGAACATCGGCAAAAATTTAACATTTCCACTACTTTGAGCTCAGTTTCAAGCCATTTCCAGTGCTAAAACCAATCAAAATCATCTCTATTCCTGTAATATGTCTACCATTCTATCAAATGAGACCAAGAAATTGGAAATACAACTATAAAAAACATACGAAAAAACACTGCAAAGTCGCTGCTTTAATTGAAAACCACAGTCTCAGTTTTTCTCTCTCATTATACACTGTGTGTTGCAGGATTTGTTTTATGTGGTGCACACATACCATATAGATGTATTCTCTCATATCTAGGCCCAAATTTACCACTCACAGCTTATCAAAGTGAACTGAGCTCATGGCGTAGATCTATGGTTTGGACCCTGAACGTAAAGCTGTAGATCTATGGCACAGACCCTGAAAGGGTTAAAAAAGCCATACCATGGGTGGGGATAGAACCCGCAATCAGAGAGTCCTAAAACTCCAGACCGTCCTGTTAGCCACTGGACCAGCCACTGACTGACGCGACGGTTTGGAGTTTTGAGACTCTGCGCTAGTTCTATCCCCACCCGTGGTATGGTTTGTTTGCAATCGTGTTATTACGATTTTGTGATCCATAAAAATTTGAAAATGCTGGTAAAAATTTAAGAAAAAAGGTTATAGCAACTTCCTTCACATGGCAAGCACTCACGTTTAAATATACAGTGGACCCCCGCGTAACGATTACCTCCGAATGTGACCATAATTGTAAGTGTATTTATGTAAGTGCGTTTGTACGTGTATGTTTGGGGGTCTGAAATGGACTAATCTACTTCACAATATTTCTTATGGGAACAAATTCGGTCAGTACTGGCACCTGAACATACTTCTGGAGTGAAAAAATATCGTTAACCGGGGGTCCACTGTAATGAGCACCATCGTCATCTTCAAATCTTCATATCTCTGTAAGTAATAATCAGATTTCAATCATTCTTGGAAACATAAAGTAATTTATTTTCTTGAAAATCACTGTCACTGAGGGGAACATTTTAGACACTTCATCAGTTTAAGGTTAAAGAAAAGAGAGGCCAATGTACAAAATAATTGGTATTCCTTCTGTAAAGGTTAGAGCTTAATTTTATATTATTAAAGTACTGTATAATCATTTTAACATGTTAATATGAAGGAATACATGTTGGTGGATAAAAGGTTGATGGGTAGGCTCCAGGATGTACATGTTTATAGAGGGGCAACTGATATATCGGATCATTATTTAGTTGTAGCTACAGTTAGAGTAAGAGGTAGATGGGAAAAGAGGAAGGTGGCAACAACAAGTAAGAGGGAGGTGAAAGTGTATAAACTAAGGGAGGAGGAAGTTCGGGCGAGATATAAGCGACTATTGGCAGAAAGGTGGGATAGTGCAAAGATGAGTAATGGGGGGGTTGAAGAGGGTTGGAATAGTTTTAAAAATGCAGTATTAGAATGTGGGGCAGAAGTTTTGTGGTTATAGGAGGGTGGGTGCAGGAGGAAAGAGGAGTGATTGGTGGAATGATGAAGTAAAGGTGTGTGATAAAAGAGAAAAAGGTAGCTTATGAGAGGTTTTTTACAAAGCAGAAGTGTTATAAGAAGAGCAGAATATATGGAGAGTAAAAGAAAGGTAAAGAGAGTGGTGAGAGAGTGCAAAAGGAGAGCAGATGATAGAGTGGGAGAGGCACTGTCAAGAAATTTTAATGAAAATAAGAAAAAATTTTGGGAGGTGAGTTAAACAAAGTTAAGAAAGCCAAGGGAAAATATGGATTTGTCAGTTAAAAACAAGTAGGGGAGTTAGTAGATGGGGAGATGGAGGTATTAGGTAGATGGCGAGAAATATTTTGAGGAACTTTTAAATGTTAAGGAAGAAACAGAGGCAGTAAATTTCATGCACTGGTCAGGGAGGTATACCATCTTTTAGGAGTGAAGAAGAGCAGAATGTAAGTGTGGGGGAGGTACGTGAGGCATTACGTAAAATGAAAGGGGGTAAAGCAGCTGGTACTGATGGGATCATGACAGAAATGTTAAAAGCAGGGGGGATATAGTGTTGGAGTGGTTGGTACTTTTGTTCAAAAAATGTATGAAAGAGGGGAAGGTACCTAGGGATTGGCGGGGAGAGCATGTATAGTCCCTTTATATAAAGGGAAAGGGGACAAAGAGACTGTAAAAATTATAGAGGAATAAGCTTACTGAGTATACCAGGAAAAGTGTACGGTAGGGTTATAATTGAAAGAATTAGAGGTAAGACGAATGTAGGATTGCGGATGAGCAAGGAGGTTTCAGAGTGGGTAGGGGATGTGTAGATCAATTTGTTTACATTGAAGCATATATGTGAAACAGTTTTAGATAAAGGTAGGGAAGTTTTTATTGCATTTATGGATTTAGAAAAGGCATATGATAGAGTGGATAGAGGAGCAATGTGGCAGATGTTGCAAGTATATGGAATAGGTGGTAAGTTATTAAATGCTGTAAAGAGTTTTTATGAAGATAGTGAGGCTCAGGTTAGGGTGTGTAGAAGAGAGGGAGACTATTTCCCGGTAAAAGTAGGTCTTAGACAGGGATGTGTAATGTCACCATGGTTGTTTAATATATTTATAGATGGGGTTGTTAAGGAAGTAAATGCTAGGGTGTTTGGGAGGAGGGGTGGGATTAAGTTATGGGAATCAAATTCAAAATGGGAATTGACACAGTTACTTTTTGCTGATGATACTGTGCTTATGGGAGATTCTAAAGAAAAATTGCAAAGGTTAGTGGATGAGTTTGGGAATGTGTGTAAAGGTAGAAAGTTGAAAGTGAACATAGAAAAGAGTAAGGTGATGAGGGTGTCAAATGATTTAGATAAAGAAAAATTGGATATCAAATTTGGGAGGAGGAGTATGGATGAATTTGAATGTTTTCAGATACTTGGGAGTTGACGTGTCGGCGGATGGATTTATGAAGGATGAGGTTAATCATAGAATTGATGAGGGAAAAAAGGTGAGTGGTGCGTTGAGGTATATGTGGAGTCAAAAATTATCTATGGAGGCAAAGAAGGGAATGTATGAAAGTATAGTAGTACCAAACACTCTTATATGGGTGTGAAGCTTGGGTGGTAAATGCAGCAGCGAGGAGACGGTTGGAGGCAGTGGAGATGTCCTGTTTAAGGCAATGTGTGTGGTGTAAAATATTATGCAGAAAATTCGGAGTGTGGAAATTAGGAGAAGGTGTTGGAGTTAAAAAAAGTATTAGTCAGAGGGCAGAAGAGGGTTGTTGAGGTGGTTTGGTCATTTAGAGAGAATGGATCAAAGTAGAATGACATGGAAAGCATATAAATCTATAGGGGAAGGAAGGCGGGGTAGGGGTCGTCCTCGAAAGGGTTGGAGAGAGGGGGTAAAGGAGGTTTTGTGGGTAAGGGGCTTGGACTTCCAGCAAGCGTGCGTGAGCGTGTTAGATAGGAGTGAATGGAGACGAATGGTACTTGGGACCTGACGATCTGTTGGATGGTATGAAAAGCACCCTTCTGGCAAGACAGTGATGGAGTGAATGATGGTGAAAGTTTTTCTTTTTCGGGCCACCCTGCCTTGGTGGGAATCGGCCGGTGTGATAATAAAAAAAAAAAAAAAATTCAGGGAAACCGGTTATTTTCATATAGTCGGACTTGAGTCCTGGAAATGGGAAGTACAATGCCTGCACTTTAAAGGAGGGGTTTGGGATATTGGCAGTTTGGAGGGATATGTTGTGTATCTTTATATGTGTATGCTTCTAGACTGTTGTATTCTGAGCACCTCTGCAAAAACAGTGATAATGTGCGAGTGTGGTGAAAGTGTTGAATGATGATGAAAGTATTTTCTTTTTGGGGATTTTCTTTCTTTTTTGGGTCACCCTGCCTCGGTGGGAGACGGCCGACTTGTTGAAAAAAAAAAAAAAAAAAAAAAAAACATGTTGCAGACCAAATGATAGTGTAGGAAGGTTTCCAGAATATTATAAACCTAGATAATAATGATAGATACTGTTTTTATTTTTTTTTTTTTTTTTTTTTTTCAACAAGTCGGCCGTCTCCCACCGAGGCAGGGTGGTATTTTTCTTGTGTGTCAGTCTACTCTGGCACATTAATGTTTCCAACCACTCAAACATTATACTAGGTATCATACAGCTTTCTAAGGTCTCCCAAAATCCTGCATAATTTTTTTTTCTCCACAAGTCAGCCATCTCCCACCAAGGCAGGGTGACCCAAAAAGAAAGAAAATACCCAAAAAGAAAATACTTTCATCATCATTCAACACTTTCACCTCACTCATACATAATTATATTTTCTTCTACAGCATTTCCAGTATGCTAACACCATTCTTTTATCTTCAGATCCAGTACTCTGTGAATGTTCAGTCTACTAGGTTCACAAACTTCTTACCTTTCCTTTTTCTTATTCTCTCGGCTTTTCCAAGAATATCTGTGATCATTAATGATTGAGGGTCCATGGTTTGATCCCTGGCACTAATGCAATTATCTTTGAATAGGATAACAGCACACTGCAAATACAGTGGACCCCTGACATTCGATGGCATCGACATTCAATAAATCCGACATTCGATGCATTTTAACGCAAAAATTTCGCCTCGACATTCGATGGAAAACCCGACATTCGATATGATTCGTACGAGACGTGTCCACGTGTGGCCTGAACTGCCCCGTGTGTGCCAGTGTTTACAAGCCACCCAGTGTGCGCGCATCTAAGGATACATTCAGTACATTCCATATTATCACTGTTTTTGGTGCTTGTTTCTGCAAAATAAGTAACCATGGGCTCCAAGAAAGCTTCTGGTGCCAACCCTTCGAGAAAAAAGGTGCTAATGACTATTGAAATGAAAAAAGAGATAATTGCAAAGTACGAAAGTGGAGTGCGTGTGTCGGAGTGTATGATGATTTGGTAAAGAAATTGCCTGCAACTAGTGGTGATGTGAGTGAGTTTAAGGCCAGCAAAGGTTGGTTTGAAAGATTTAAGAATCGTAGTGGCATACACAGTGTGGTAAGGCATGGTGAGGCTGCCAGTTCATCCTAATGGAAGGGGATTTCCCGTCTAAACACTAACACCATCCACTCTCTCCCCTCCTCCCATCCCATCAATCATCACCAGATCTTCATTAAAGGTAGGTGTCAATTATTCTATTGTTATTAATCTATTGTTATTGTTGTAATTCTACTGCATTAAACTTAATATTTCATGTTGTAAAAATTTTTTTTTTTATACTTTTGGGTGTCTTGCACGGATTAATTTGATTTCCATTATTTCTTATGGGGAAATTAATTTGACTTTCGATATTTTCGACATTCGATGAGCTCTCAGGAACGGATTAATATCGAATGTCGGGGGTCCACTGTATATCCAACTTTACCAAATAAAAAAAAATACTTTGCCTTTTATAAAGTCTACCTTATTAAAAGACTATTACAAATATAATTTCTGGTACAATAATTTAAAACCACTACTTTTTTCAGGTTCACTGGTTGTCCTTTACTAGAGTCGAAGAGCATTTCTACCAGCGCTTGCATGCTGAGTGTTCTTATGATGCTCAGCAAAGGCTGAAAAAGTTTCCAGATACTAAAACAAAACTTAACTCATTGGACAGATCAACTTTAAATTCACTTCTGCATCCTCTACTTAAACTACGTCAGGCCTGCAATCATCCACAGGTAAGATTGCAGCCCACAAAGATCAGGTGCTCTTACAGTTTAATAACTAATTTTGCAAGTTTGTGATATATGCCCTCCAGACCTCCAAATTTTTGAAGGATTTACTCAACCTCACATTCAGTTCCCTACCGTCAGCATGGACTACATCATGCAACTTCTAAATTTTTAGTAGTACATGAGTTTACAGTACAAGATTTATTTTTATGCAAAAGAAAACTGCACAATCTGTAAAAGGTTCCACATTATTGAGGTAACATGTTCTATGAAATAACTACTGTGTGGTGTTTTCTCTATGAATTTTGTGCTAACATTGGTAAAGTTTCGGCTTTTTAAAAATTGTCCATTATTTTCATAAATGTATTTAAGACAGGAGCTAAATTGTAGATATTAATACCAGATATTAATGAAACATGATTAATGCAAATACTGTAATTAAATCTGCTTTCATGAGAATTGTAACTGTTTTGCAAATTAAGATAATGTAAAAGATTTGTATAGCTTGCATTTTTTTATAATTAAATGTTTTCTAGGTGGTGAAAGGGCAGTTTCTCTCAATGAATCGCAAGACTATGACTATGGAAATGCTTCTGGAGAACCTCATAAAAAAAACAAAATTGGAGACGGAAGAGGCTCATCGTTTGTTAATTGCATCTATGAATGGTCTTGCTGGTATACACATTATTCAGGAAGAATGGTCTCAAGCAGTTGAGATGTACCGCAGTGTTCTTCGATCCATTGAGGAGCATGCGAATATAAAGACTGATTCATTGCAACGTCTTCACACACTTCACAACTTGGCTGAAATTTTGGAATCAGGTCATCCAAACATTCAGCCCACACTCAGAGATGATTCACTCAGGGAAGAAGCTGAAACCATTCGTAAGCGCTACTTGCAGCATTATCCGCAGCAGGTTGCTACAGCTGATTTAGAATGTAATCAGAACACAAAAGCTGTTGAGAGTTTAGAAAAAAACTATAATCTCAGGACAAAATGGTGGTTAGCTGCCTTGGAATCATTTGATGATGATTTTGTACTAGAAGTGAGAGATGAGATGCTGTCTTCTTATTCTAGATTTGAAGAAAACAAGTGTATTCTTTATCCAGTCAAAACACGAGCACACTTGCAACTAGTTTTAAATGCTGAAATGAAAAAAATAAAAAATCAGAGGCTTGAGATGATTAATGGAGTGAAATATTTGCAGAGTCTAGATCCAGTATCCTTACTTGATGGAGCTATTGATTGTCATCTACGTCCAACAGAATCAGAACCACCACAGTGCTTAATCTGTGCTACACATGAACTCTTTGAAGATTACGAAGAAACGTTGTTTTCAATGCGTGAGTTAAAGCACAGCAGAACAACAGGTGTATCAAAAGAAACTGAGGACATAAAAGACAAAGCCCAGGTAATGCAAGCTACTCGCCGTGGACACTGGGGTCAGAGTGAAAATGAGCGAGTTTTGAGGTATTTACAGACAAAATCTTTAGAAAAGGTGGAGAGAGAGATATATAAAGATTCTCAAACACACTTTAAAATTTGGGAAGCAACAAAGAGAGAGTTTAAAAATTATCGTATTCTATGGCGTGCAATATTTGATTCTGTGTCTGCCATGGATGAAGTCAACATGGCCACAATCCGACTTCGCTTACGTTTTCCAGATGAGGAGATTCCTTTGCAAAAGAAAAAGAAACAGAGAGAGGACTTGGAAAAGAAAATGGAAGCCCTCAGATATGTGGTAGAAGCAGGAGAACTCCCTCAACTACAGCTGAAGTTAAAATCAGACAAGATAGTTGCAACAAATGACTTAAAAATTAAACTGGGTCAGCTCCTCTATCTACAAAATCTTGCTAAGACCGATTTTGGGAAAGAGGGTGGAAAAAATCCTGAACCATGTCCAATTTGTCAAGGTGAACTAGGAGAGAAATGGGCAGTTCTCCTTTGTGGTCACTGTTACTGTATGGAGTGCATGAGAACTTTGTCAAATCGCGGGTTTAATGGAATGGACAAAAGTGCCGTGAAGTGTCCCATGTGTCGCCAACCAACCCGAACTCGTGAAATCTCTTACGTAGATACTAAAGCAAAGGAGGAGGAAGAGGTCAAGGTAAGAATATTAAACCAAAATCCAGTAAATATCAAAAAGCTGCTATAACTTCACACACTTGTCTCATTTCTAGTATATTCATCTTGGGTACATCCACTTGACATGCATTACTTTAGTTTGTTTTTACACAGAATTAACCTTATATACTAGACTATTTAGCCAAGAATCTTAATATAGTAGTTGATAATTTTATTTTGCTTCCCAATTTAGGTTTTCAAACAATTTTACCATTTTACAGAAAATTGACATTAACTACTAATACTAACCATTTTATCATTAATTCAACCTTAGTTGTTTTACAATGAAGGGTTAGTCATATATTTTTTTCCTTTAGGAAAGCCCTGAATTATGTCCAACATTTTGGCAGATTTTTTAACAATTTAGATGAGTTTATCATTTAATAGTATGTATACTATACTACAGATAATATGGCATAATTTAGCATAACATAATTTGTCATCTGTGTATTTTGCTTGAATTTGTGACAATAAATAAATCAACAAATTTATTTATGCTAAAATTCAGGTCCCTAGATATTATTTTTAAATCATTGCAATATGATAATATACAGTACTACTACAACAGTGGAGACCCTATTATTATTATTATTATTATTATTAATATTATATATATATATATATATATATATATCTTTTAGGAGTGAAGAAGAGCAGACTGTAAGTGTGGTGGAGGTACGTGAGGCATTACGTAGAATGAAAGGGGGTAAAGCAGCTGGAACTGATGGGATCATGACAGAAATGTTAAAAGCAGGGGGGAATATAGTGTTGGAGTGGTTGGTACTTTTGTTTAATAAATGTATGAAAGAGGGGAAGGTACCTAGGGATTGGCGGAGAGCATGTATAGTCCCTTTATATAAAGGGAAAGGGGACAAAAGAGATTGTAAAAATTATAGAGGAATAAGTTTACTGAGTATACCAGGAAAAGTATACGGTAGGGTTATAATTGAAAGAATTAGAGGTAAGACAGAATGTAGAATTGCGGACGAACAAGGAGGTTTCAGAGTGGGTAGGGGATGTGTAGATCAAGTGTTTACATTGAAGCATATATGTGAACAGTATTTAGATAAAGGTAGGGAAGTTTTTATTGCATTTATGGATTTAGAAAAGGCATATGATAGAGTGGATAGAGGAGCAATGTGGCAGATGTTGCAAGTATATGGAATAGGTGGTAAGTTACTAAATGCTGTAAAGAGCTTTTATGAGGATAGTGAGGCTCAGGTTAGGGTGTGTAGAAAAGAGGGAGAATACTTCCCGGTAAAAGTAGGTCTTAGACAGGGATGTGTAATGTCACCATGGTTGTTTAATATATTTATAGATGGGGTTGTAAAAGAAGTAAATGCTAGGGTGTTCGGGAGAGGGGTGGGATTAAATTATGGGGAATCAAATTCAAAATGGGAATTGACACAGTTACTTTTTGCTGATGATACTGTGCTTATGGGAGATTCTAAAGAAAAATTGCAAAGGTTAGTGGATGAGTTTGAGAATGTGTGTAAAGGTAGAAAGTTGAAAGTGAACATAGAAAAGAGTAAGGTGATGAGGGTATCAAATGATTTAGATAAAGAAAAATTGGATATCAAATTGGGGAGGAGGAGTATGGAAGAAGTGAATGTTTTCAGATACTTGGGAGTTGACGTGTCGGCGGATGGATTTATGAAGGATGAGGTTAATCATAGAATTGATGAGGGAAAAAAGGTGAGTGGTGCGTTGAGGTATATGTGGAGTCAAAAAACGTTATCTATGGAGGCAAAGAAGGGAATGTATGAAAGTATAGTAGTACCAACACTCTTATATGGATGTGAAGCTTGGGTGGTAAATGCAGCAGCGAGGAGACGGTTGGAGGCAGTGGAGATGTCCTGTCTAAGGGCAATGTGTGGTGTAAATATTATGCAGAAAATTCGGAGTGTGGAAATTAGGAGAAGGTGTGGAGTTAATAAAAGCATTAGTCAGAGGGCAGAAGAGGGGTTGTTGAGGTGGTTTGGTCATTTAGAGAGAATGGATCAAAGTAGAATGACATGGAAAGCATATAAATCTATAGGGGAAGGAAAGAGGGGTAGGGGTCGTCCTCGAAAGGGTTGGAAAGAGGGGGTAAAGGAGGTTTTGTGGGTGAGGGGCTTAGACTTCCAGCAAGCGTGCATGAGCGTGTTAGATAGAGTGATATGGAGACGAATGATACTTGGGACCTGACGATCTGTTGGAGTGTGAGCAGGGTAATATTTAGTGAAGGGATCAGGGAAACCGGTTATTTTCATATAGTCGGACTTGAGTCCTGGAAATGGGAAGTACAATGCCTGCACTTTAAAGGAGGGGTTTGGGATATTGGCAGTTTGGAGGGATATGTTGTGTATCTCTATACGTATATGCTTCTAAACTGTTATATTCTGAGCACCTCTGCAAAAGCAGTGATAATGTGTGAGTGTGGTGAAAGTGTTGAATGATGATGAAAGTATTTTCTTTTTGGGGATTTTCTTTCTTTTTTGGGTCACCCTGCCTCGGTGGGAGGCGACCGACTTGTTGAAAAAAAAAAAAAAAAAAAAAATATATATATATATATATATATCTATATATATATATATATATCTATATATTCTTTCTTTTCTTTCTTTCAACAAGTCGGCCGTCTCCCACCGAGGCAGGGTGACCCAAAAAAGAAAGAAAATCCCCAAAAAGAAAATACTTTCATCATCATTCAACACTTTCACCACACTCACACATTATCACTGCTTTTGCAGAGGTGCTCAGAATATAACAGTTTAGAAGCATATACGTATAGAGATACACAACATATCCCTCCAAACTGCCAATATCCCAAACCCCTCCTTTAAAGTGCAGGCATTGTACTTCCCATTTCCAGGACTCAAGTCCGACTATATGAAAATAACCGGTTTCCCTGAATCCCTTCACTAAATATTCCCCTGCTCACACTCCAACAGATCGTCAGGTCCCAAGTATCATTCGTCTCCATTCACTCCTATCTAACACGCTCATGCACGCTTGCTGGAAGTCCAAGCCCGTCACCCACAAAACATCCTTTACCCCCCTCTTTCCAACCCTTTCGAGGACGACCCCTACCCTCTTTCCTTCCCCTATAGATTTTATAGCTTTCCATGTCATTCTACTCTTGATCCATTCTCTCTAAATGACCAAACCACCTCAACAACCCCTCTTCGCCCTCTGACTAATGCTTTTATTAAAACCCCACACCTTCTCCTAATTTCCACACTCCGAATTTTCTGCATAATATTTACACCACACATTGCCCTTAGACAGGACATTCCCCACTGCCTCCAACCGTCTCCTCGCTGCTGCATTACCACCCAAGCTTCACATCCATATAAGAGTGTTGGTACTACTATACTTTCATACATTCCCTTCTTTGCCTCCATAGATAACGTTTTTTGACTCCACATATACCTCAACGCACCACTCACCTTTTTTCCCCTCATCAATTCTATGATTAACCTCATCCTTCATAAATCCATCCGCCGACACGTCAACTCCCAAGTATCTGAAAACATTCACTTCTTCCATACTCCTCCTCCCCAATTTGATATCCAATTTTTCTTTATCTAAATCATTTGATACCCTCATCACCTTACTCTTTTCTATGTTCACTTTCAACTTTCTACCTTTACACACATTCTCAAACTCATCCACTAACCTTTGCAGTTTTTCTTTAGAATCTCCCATAAGCACAGTATCATCAGCAAAAAGTAACTGTGTCAATTCCCATTTTAAATTTGATTCCCCATAATTTAATCCCACCCCTCTACCGAACACCCTAGCATTTACTTCTTTTACAACCCCATCTATAAATATATTAAACAACCCTGGGACATTACACATCCCTGTCTAAGACCTATTTTACCGGGAAGTATTCTCCTCTCTTCTCCCCACCCTACCCTGAGCCTCACTATCCTCATAAAAGCTCTTTACAGCATTTAGTAACTTACCACTATTCCATATACTTGCAACATCTGCCACATTGCTCCTCTATCCACTCTATCATATGCCTTTTCTAAATCCATAAATGCAATAAAAACTTCCCTACCTTTATCAAATACTGTTCACATATATGCTTCAATGTAAACACTTGATCTACACATCCCCTACCCACTCTGAAGCCTCCTTGCTCGTCCGCAATTCTACATTCTGTCTTACCTCTAATTCTTTCAATTATAACCCTACCGTATACTTTTCCTGGTATACTCAGTAAACTTATTCCTCTATAATTTTTACAATCTCTTTTGTCCCCTTTCCCTTTATAAAGGGACTATACATGCTCTCCGCCAATCCCTAGATTACCTTCCCTCTTTCATACATTTATTAAACAAAAGTACCAACCACTCCAACACTATATCCCCCCCTGCTTTTAACATTTCTGTCATGATCCCATCAGTTCCAGCTGCTTTACCCCTTTCATTCTACGTAATGCCTCACGTACCTCCACCACACTTACATTCTGCTCTTCTTCACTCCTAAAAATGGTATACCTCCCTGGCCAGTGCATGAAATTACCGCCTCCCTTTCTTCCTTAACATTTAAAAGTTCCTCAAAATATTCTCGCCATCTACCTAATACCTCCCTCTCCCCATCTACTAACTCCCCTACTCTGTTTTTAACTGACAAATCCATACTTTCCCTAGGCTTTCTTAACTTGTTTAACTCCCTCCAAAATTTTTTCTTATTTTCATTAAAATTTCTTGACAGTGCCTCTCCCACTCTTTCATCTGCTCTCCTTTTGCACTCTCTCACCACTCTCTTCACCTTTCTTTTCCTCTCCATATACTCTGCTCTTCTTATAACACTTCTGCTTTGTAAAAACCTCTCGTAAGCTACCTTTTTCTCTCTTATCACACCCTTTACTTCATCATTCCACCAATCACTCCTCTTTCCTCCTGCCCCCACCCTCCTATAACCACAAACTTCTGCCCCACATTCTAATACTGCATTTTTAAAACTATTTCAACCCTCTTCAACCCC